CCCCCCCCCCCCCGCACGCCGGCGGCAATCAATCGTTGTCCGACACTCTTGAGGGTATCGTGCGAGTGTGCGAATGTGGTGTTAAATATGTGCTACGACGCCGGGAATGTGCAACACTTCTTGGAGGTCAGGCATTCCGTCAGAAAAAAAAGGGGGGCGTCGACTGTTCCGTTCTCTGTTTGTGTTTTTCCCACTTCACCATGGAGGTATCGTGCACATGACAATGCAATGCATTCGTTTTTTACGACGCGTTGCTTGCAAGGAAGTACGAACTACATGCTAAGTAGAACACTAGGAGTGCGTACACCAGAAAGCGTCCAAAACAACCAGATGGTCAAAAGGTTTCTCCCAGTGGTTGGCGATTAGGACAATGACGAACGACTCGTTTTTGACGGTATTGATTGCTCCCTCGTACAACGCTACGTACTTTTTCCGAGTCGATGCTCATTTTCTGTGGTGGCGTGGGAAACAACGCCCTCAAGAGTTGAACAATGGCCTATAACATCTCGTCGTCCCCCGCGCATCTAACCTGACATACATGCCGAATCAACGCATGCGGCACCATCACCGTACTCGAACCAAAATGTGGCAACCGTCGACCTCAATTCCCCGACGTGGGGGTTTGGTGTAGAGCTTGACATGCCAATATGTAGCGGTCACCGGTTTTTCTTCTATCACCTTCCTTGCTCTTTCACGAGAGGAGTGCGTGCTGCATCTTCTTCCGTACAACCCCCTCCTCCGTTGATCGTCACTGTATAGGTAGGTGGTGTTGAGGCGCTTGGGCCCCTGGTACTTTCTGGCAACGAGCACTTGAAGGTTAGAAGTAGGCTCCATCTATGTATCTGTTTCTCATTTTGTCTGGTACCATCACCGCGCGCGGGGTTCTTCGCTCGATAGGGGGCGTGCTTTGCTTCCACATGATTTCGTGTATAAAAATCTGTGCGATGCCTTTGCACATCGCTGTCCCCCGACGGGAGAAAAACTGCGTGCAATAATTTGGTGTTCGTGTGCACCTGCTCTTGGTGTTTTTCCCTGCCCGCTGTCCTTGCACGTTTGGTTTCTCTTGCTCTTGTCCTGCTCCACCTCATCTCGCCCATTTTGATTTTCCGTTCTCTTCTCTTCTCCACCCTGGCAACCTTCACGGCGCCGTCAGGCCAGCGGGCTGGGAGCGCTGCAGAGCGTGTGCTTCGACAAGCCCGGCAGGGACGCCACAAGAGGCAGGTGACATCGTTAGACCCTCACTCACGCGAAGCTTGTTCGAAGGTCTAAGGTGTTTTGCTACATGCTTTGAGCCTGCCAGTAAACATGGCCAACCAATGGAAGCGCGCCCTTTCCATTAAACCGCTCGACCAACGTCTTGAGTTGCGAGTTCGTTCCTCGCCCCTCGCCAGGCTTGTGGCAGAAGACTACGTACCCTGGGGTGTGATGACTCGGTCCGCCTGAGCTCCCACTCCATGCTGAGACCTAGCGCTGTTGCAACATCTACCAAATGCCGGGCGCTTTGTGTTCTGCGGTTGTAGAATGGGCTCTCGACAGTTGCACCCCCACGCCGTTTTTCTCCTTTGCTCGGCGTGCTTACTACGCGCGATCGGTCGTTTTGACTGATGGCCCGAAACAAGCTTTTAACGTAATACACCAGCTCGCGCAACTCCAGAGATACAAGCTGCTCTCTCTCTCTTTCTCTCTCTATTCCTCTGTCTCACCCAAAAATACAATGGTGCAATTTGCGTAGTCTATGCATCATTTCCGGTCGAAAACAACAACCGGAAAAACAAACCAACGTGGGTTGTGATGGGTTGTGATGCCATGGCCAATAGACGCGGCATCGCGGATGTCTTGTCCTGTTCTGATTATGCTCACTCGCGTATCGACCAACCAGATAGCGGTTTAATCGGCGCGGTGGTGAGACTGCTGGAAGACGATAGCCCCAAAGTACGAGCGAGGGCGCTGGGCACGGTACACAACCTCAGCACCGACGCCCGAAGCATCGGGATCATTCGAGAAGAGGTGGGCGAAAGTGGGAGGGGTAGATCGGGTTTGAAACAACTACGGCAACAACAACGACAGCAACCACATTGCAACAACAGTAACAATGGTCCACCTGTGCAACAACACTCGAGCAATAGAAGAAGCAAGGCTGACACATCCAAGTGGGACCACAATGCGTGCGAAGCAGGGGGGCTTGCCGCGGTTGGTGCGGCTCCTTCGGTCTCACGAGGCACACGTATGCGGAGGCGCGGCGGGAACGATACAGAACCTCTCGCGCGAGGAGAAGAGTCGCGCCCTGCTGCTCGAGAGCTTTGGAGCCGTGGAGCCCCTGGCTGATTTGCTGGTCGGGCGACACGTCAAGAGCCAGGTGGGTGGCTGTGGCTTCACGTCGCGAGGCACCCCAGCGGCAGAATTCCGCCGCTCGATCGCCCCACCCACCGCTAAAGCCGGGCAATGTGTCTTGCAAAGGCTCGCAAGAACGCCACCCCCGATGATGAGCCGATGGCTGTTCTTCGGTTGTACTAGGGTAGACTCGTCTTGTACTGTAGGGTGGTCGACAACAGGAGATCGGCCTTCCCACGGTTCTGTAGGAGTGGGGGCGCAGGAGATGATCATGTGAAACCCTGCACGCGGCGTGATGATGCCAGCTGCTACTATTGTAGCGCCCGCCCGTATCCATACCTCAATACAGCTTTTACCTCGGACGGTGCTTCCAAGTATTCGTGTGCTTGATCTCGCAGGCAACCGTTGGCCCGTCGCATCTGTGAGACCTCTTTTTACTTCGTTTTGACAATGCAATGCATGGTTGTACGGGTACCAAAGTCGTTGGGCTTGACGACGTTACCCTCGTCGCTGTTGTTTGCTTTTCCATGTCTACGGTGGCAACGGCGGCGGCGATCACGGACCCGTTTTTTGATGTAGATCTCCGCGGCGGGAGCCCTAGTCAATATTGTTGGCCCGGACGCGAGAGGAAGCAAGGTGGGTTGATGATCAATAAATAGAGCCTTGTGTAGTATCGTGCCGGCCTACCAACACTGTGGAGCTAAAAGAAACTCGGTGACGGTTGCTGCTCGACCGGTACGGCATCGCGTGGGTTTCTGTTGTGCCCAGACTATGTGTTCCTTGCATCAATTCTGTTCGTACCGATAAGCGCTTGTGGGCTCGACCACCTCCATTTTCTCCCCCACTCTCATCTCGAGGTCAACGGTCTACGACTGAGGCATGCACGGTTATGAGTACACCCCCCCTCCCGCTCACCCCATCCCCTCCTGTCGACCCCATGCTTTGCTTCGACTCGCCATCGGCGGTCCAACCAGCGGCAGCTGCTTCACGACGTGGTGACGGACGGTATCGTCCTCGGGGTGATCGAGAGCTGCATGGTTTAACCCCTGTAGACTACAATGAGATCAAGCTGTTTTCTGTTCGGTTATTTTCCAGAAGGCCGAGACGACGGTTTTGTTCGGTTATTATCCTGCAGGAGGTTCCCCAAAACCACGGTCTTGATTGTCTAGCCTTGCAAGAGTTCTGTCCACACTTTCTTGTCTTTTCCCCTTCTTCTAAGTCCATCTCCCACATGACAACCTAAGCAACCTTCACCCCGCAACGCTGATTGGGGTTGTTTGACCCCTCCAGCCCTCGCTGCTGCGGAGAAGCGTTTGCAGAACGCAGGCTACTCTCTGTGTGTCTCTGTTGGCCTTTTCACAACCACCGTTGGCAACGGGACCACGCAGTAAAACACGTCCGGCCGAAAATGAAGGGTTTGCACGCAGTTCCTGCCCGACAGCGCGGGGGGACCATATTTGACTACCCATCAATTAGGATGTGGTGATGTGTGACAAAGTGACCACAATGACCTTTGTACTGGGAACGATTTCATCGATGTATTGAGCCCCTACAGCAGTATGCTGCCTGTTAGATATAGATAAAGACATATTCGTAGGCTCTTAGCCTCCCAGCCAGCTGGGTCATTGGGTGATGGGGATCTCCGGGGCCGGACCCCTCGCCACGCGCTGCTTATACAGTAGTTGTGGTGCTTCAATAGTGATCCAGCCGGGATTCGAACCCGTGCGGGAACCCTTATGTTAGGAAGGCCGAACCATCAGACAGACGACTCAGTCAACACTGCCATCGCACTCGACTCTTGTGGACGGGGGATTCTTCTGTTTGATGACGGCCTCCCGTGAGACTTTTTTTTTTTTACCGAGCACGGGTTTGAATCACCGTGGCCCCACACGAAATATTACTCAAAACGGAGGCACAAGCCTACCACAGGAATACCCTCGCAATAGAAAAAAAGGTGTACCCGCCCCCCCATGTACATGGCAGTCGCAGCAAAAATTGACACCCCCAAGGGAGCTCCAAAATAGGTCGCAACAACCTCTCTGCAAGAATATTGCCCCTCAGCTTGGTATTGCTCTTGGGTGAGCACCCGAAAGTCAAGATCTGGCTAAAAACCTCCTAGTTGGTTCACGCAGCGGACGGGGCCCAATCAACGCCTATCGATCGATACGACTCCAACCACGTTCACGTGCCGGCTTCGCATCAGTATGACACCCAGAAAAAAATTGTGGTTAGTTTGATATTCGCCGGGAGAACCCCAATACACGTGATGATACAAGTTGCTTGTTTGCAAACCGTCAACTCTATTGATTTGGGGGCGTCGCCTCCCCTCGGGCATCAAGCATAAAAGACGTGAACGCTACTACAAGGATGATGCACGATTCGCCGACTCTATTGCATCGCGGTCAACCACTTCCGTGCCCATGGTTTGCTCTCGAACCGTCACCATCAACGCTCCGGCCTCTTGCTGCGCACAGAACTGGAGTTCCGTGAGCAGCTAGCTCCAACACCGAGAAAATCAACGAAAATAGACCGATCGACAGACCATCCTCCCAAGCCTCGTACGACAGGGAAAGGGCCAAAAACAGCGAGTCGACCACCAACGTCTTCCCCACCGCCCTCAGCACAACCGCTGATCTTCGCGTGGTCGTGGCGCCGCCAGGGAGGAGGTGGTGCCCATGGGGGCAGGAGAATATGACACCGGCGAAAACGGTGTAGGGGTGGTGGTCGACAACTCTATCGACCAACGGAAGACCACACCCGGCCGTTCCAATACCTCCACAGGCAGGCGTGTTTCCTGATATTCCACACCACAGCAACATCATCAAAGAGCTCGACTTCGCGCGGGAGCCCACCCGGGTGTTCGTGTAAATTTGTAACTTGGTTGCTGGTTTAGGGAGTAGTAATATTATTGGCCACGCAAAAGCTTAGCAAATGGATGAATGATTTCTGGCAGCGATGCCGCGGACGATGTCACCGACCGGGGTTCCCGGGCAGCACGCACACCTTGCCTCAATTCCATTTCGACTCACATATTCCAACATGTTCCGAGAAACCGGCTGAACCCACCCGTCGGTAGTGTACAAACATCTGCTGCATATTTGGGCGTCCTTCTCCGAGAGGTACCATCCCTAAGGTAGCGATTTGGTGCGGTTAAGGCAGCGGTTTGGCGCGGTTAATGTCACGAAGTAGGACCAACAACCTCATCGCACAAACACCGTGCTATTTTAACGCCCCGCCCCGCCCCGTGACATTTCCACCTACATGCGAAATAAAAGGCCCTCTACCGTGAACACCCGAAAGAAACAAACCGCACGGCAGAGCGGGTCTACATCGTGAAACGCCCTGAAACAAGGAAACCTGTCTCATTGGCTAAAAGGATGACGCAGTTCGAAGAAGTTAATAAGGATGTCTTTCTGATGTCTGGTTCCGCGAAAAACATGGTGCCATAATCCATTGAATTGTTCGACCGCTCCGTTCAGTAATCTTAGAACAATCACTACTCGAAAAACAAGCTGCTTGTCTCTTTTGAGGCTCACGGTCTGTTTTGGATACGCTCAACAAGTTCTGTTGCGGCCGTCGAATGCTGTTATTGGGGCATACATACGCGTTCGCGGCGCCAATGTGGCTGTGGCCAAGAGGAACGCTAGACAGCGTGGGATGCAGCTCGGTGTGCTTCCGCACAAGAAATGCATAGTCTACAGTACTTCACAGGTAGAAAATATGTCGTTGCTCTGGCTGACCTCAGGACCAGGCTTGCTTAGAACGTGATGAGGACAAGAAAGTGATGGGTATGCGCTTGAAGCAGGACAGCAACAACTTTGTGTCCAACAATAATCTCAGACTCATATATGCCCAACAACGTTATCGACATAATAACAAACGCTCGACACTATCTAGCGAAACGGTCTGTCTCTTCGGCTGAAAACGCTGACAGTTGTTTGAAAATCATGGTCTACTTCGTACGAAACATTACAACACAGAAAGAACCAGACCGAACGAGCACAAAAATGCAGACGTCGTACAACAGACACATCAACAGCCAGTCAGTGTTACTGGTAAATCATGGACATACAAACGGCACGATCGTACCGCTTGTTCTGTGCCGCTGCACCAGCAACAACTTGTGAAATCCAGGCTTGACTCCATCATGGTCCAATGGAACGGCATAAAGAAAAAACACTCCACGCGTACGTAACCAGGCGACACACGAACGTGTTCAGCAGCTTCCCGCTGCTCCATGTTACAAGGGAAGTTGGAGCCTCCCCCCCACCTGTTTTTATACTAGAAGCTAGAGGGGACAATATCAGCCTGCGCCTGGCACCGGTCGGCTCTTATCAAATGGCCGGTAGAGACGAACGATTGCGTACAACGGTCTGTTGATAGACTACTGTAAGCTTTGTTGTTGCCTGAACCGGCCCGTACGCTTTCGTCCCCAAACACCTCGGTTCGCCTAACGCTGCGTAACCACTGTTTGTTTCGTGCACAGAGTTCTGGAGGCCGACCTGAGACTCTTCTCCAACCATCAGCTCAAGCAACATCGATTGATGATTGACTGGTGGTTGATCGCCTACTCCGCGATGTGCGGCGTTCACAACGAAATATAACTGCACACAGTAGACGCCACAGGCACACCTTATCGAGGAGCGAGATCACCACCACACGGAGAGCGCCTTCGCGTTCTTCCTGTGTTCTGGCTATAGCGTCTTCGTTTCATCCATCAGCTCGATACAGTTTATGTATGCCATCTAACCCTGAGAGCACGGTCGATGCTGCCCCAAAAAAAAACAAAAAAAACACATCCGCACTTCACCACCACACACACCACGAGACTTGCAACCATCAGAACTCCTCATCCATGTCGTATCCCCCCGCCGCACCACCTCCCGACCAACCCCCACCACCACCGCCGCCGCCTCCGCTGGCGCCACCTCGATAAGACGGTGGCATGGACCCGGTTGGTGGTACGTTGACATCTTGATACCCCCCCCTCCCCCCTGCTGCTGCTGCTGCTGCTCCTCCTCCTCCTGTGTCCATCACGTTGCTGGCGTTTCTGTCTCCCTTGACGGCGGCTCGGTATTTGGCGAGGTAGACCTTGAGCGGTTCGATGTAGTCGTCAAAACCCAGCGTGTTCATGGACGTGATGATGTCTTCGCCGCTGATTGTCTTGCGCTTTTCGTCCTGGCACTTGTCGCTGGCGTCGGCGGTGATCCAGCAGATGAACTCCGACACGCACTCCTGCCATCACATCACATGGCGAGAGAAAACGCAACGGAAAGGAGAACGTGAAACACACATCGATCCATCGATCCATCGATCCATCGATCATTGTTGTTGGTGGAATGGTTAGTTTACACAACAGTGTACTACTGTAGTGGAACTCAGCAGTAGTAGTCTATGGCGTACAGTAGAGAAGGATGTCTATCTCGTTGTAGACTATATACCCAAAGCTGCTGCGCGTATACCGCGCGTATTGTAGAGCATGCATGCCTGATGTCTGTGCTTTCGCACAAGACGCGGTCGTAGCCTGAGGCGAAGCACCGCAATTCATAACAGTCGGTACTACTGTGGATGACAGACATGTGCGCTGTTCCCAGACAGATTTTACACATGAAAACCAGTGGGCCATTTGGGGTCCCCGGCAAAATGCCGAGACCCCATGTATCTTTACGAGGAATGCATAGATTCACCGTCCTCACGAAGGACGGGGAGTCTTGACCCGAGCAGGTGGGTCAATGACGCCCCCCCTTGAAGCTGACATGGCAGTATCGCATGTGCGGGATGGGAGAGGAGAGGTTGCCGAGAATTGTATGGGAGGCGAAGTGGGCAAACAAAAAGAGGGGTAGGCAACCCACGGAATGGGTCAAGGTTGTAGAGGACGTATGGAAAGGGCTCGACATCGACGAAGATGNGTTGTACAAGAAGGAGAGGGAAGTGTACGTGACTGAGCTGGGAAAAATAGATGGAACGGACAGGGAGATGTTTGAGGCATGGAATAGAGAGGAAAGGACAGCAGCTGTACTGGGGCATAGGAGGTGGGTTGAAAAGGCGGGAAGGGATATCGTTAGGATAGACAGACTAGGGAAGACATTTTTGAGCCACCTTTGGCAAAGTAG